CTCCAGTTGTCTCATATGGTTCGGTCCACAACTGGGCCTCTTCCATCCGCTCTGCGGCCGGGGGTGACCCGAGGAGCCTGGACCAAACCATTCCAGCCACTGACTCCCTTGCAGCCTTTTTGGACCTGGGCAGATGCTCCCATAATTGGTCGGGAGCCATTTTGGAAGTGGGCAACACTGAACAATTGTCAAGGGGGAATGATAAACCCCGGAGAAGTGACATTAAATAGCTCCATAGGGGGATGATTCTGTCTCAGAGTTTCTCAACTTTGGCATGTTTTGAACCACAATTTTTTTTTCCTGTTCTGGTGTTCTGGCAGCTCCAATTTTTTATTTTTTACTTTCAAAAAATTTTATACAATTTTTAAAGCTTACTTTCTGTTTACAGTTATGCAATACTGACAATATTCCCCATGTTGTACAATATATCCTTGAGCCTATCTTAAACCCAATAGTTAGTGCCTCTCCCTCTCCCACCCCTATATTGCCCCTCTCCTCCCTCCTCATGGGTAACCACTAGATTGTTTTCTGTATCTGAATCTGCTTTTTTGTTATGTTCACTAGTTTGTTGTATTTTTTAGATTCCACATATAAATGATATCATACAGTATTTGTCTTTGTCTGACTGACTTGACTTAGCATAATGCCCTCCAAGTCTATCCAAGTCTATCTGCAGTGAAAAAGCTTTTAAGTTTAAGTAGGTCCCATTTGTTCATTTTTGCTTTTATTTCCTTTACTTTACGAGATGGATCCAAAAAAAATACCACTGTGATTTATGTCAAAGAGGGTTCTGCCTATGTTTTCTTCTAGAAGTTTTAGAGTAGACCTTACATTTAGGTCTTAAATCCATTTTTACTTTATTTGTGTAAATAGTGTCAGAGAATGTTCTAATTTCATTGATTTACATGTAACTGTCTGGTTTTCCAGCACCACTTGTTGAACAGATTGTCTTTCCTCCACTGTATATTCTTGCCTTTACTGTCATAGAGTAATTAATCATACGTGTGTGGGTTTATTTTTGGGCTCTCTATTCTGTTCCATTGGCCTATGTATCTGGTTTTGTGACAGTATCATACTGTTTTGATTACTGTAGCTTTGAGTATAGCGTGAAGTCAGGGAGCATGATTCCTCCAGCTCTTCTTTCTCAAGATTGTTTTGGCTATTCACGGTCTTTTGTGTTTCCACATCAAATTTAAAACTATTTGTTCTAGTTCCGTGAAAAATGCCATTGGTAATTTGATAGGGATTGCACTAAATCTGTAGATTGCCTTGGGTAGTATGGTCATTTTAACAATATTGATTCTTTCAATCCGAGAACACAGTATATCTTTCCATCTATTTGTGTTGTATTCAGTTTCTTTCAGTGTCTTACAGTTTTCAGAGTACAGGTTTTCTGCTTCCTTGGGTAGGTTTATTTCTAGGTATTTTATTTTTGATGCAATGGTAAATGGTATTGTTTCCTTAACTTCTTTTTCTGAGACTTCATTGTTAGTGTATAAAAATGCAATTTTTGTATATTTCTGTATATTAATTTTGTATCCTGCAACTTTACCAAATTCACTGATGAGCTCTTGTTGTTTTCTGGTGGCATCTTTAGGACTTTCTTTGGATGGTATCATGTCATGTGCAATAGTGACAGTTTTACTTCTATTCAATAATACATTAAAGGGCTCATACATCATGATCAAGTAAATCCCAAGATTTACCCAGGGATGCAAGAATTTTTCAATAGCCACAAATCAATCAATGTAATATACCACATTAACAAATTGAAGAAAAATCATATGATCATCCTAATAGATACAGAAAAAGCTTTTGATAAAATTCAACACACATGTGTGATAAAAACTCTCCAGAAAGGAGGCATAGAGGGGACATACTTCAACATAATAAAGGCCATATATGACAACCCTACAGCTAGCATCATAGTCAACAGTGAAAAGCTAAAACATTTCCTCTAAGATCATGAATAAGATAAGAATGTTCACTCTGGGAACTTTTATTCAGCATAGTTTTGGAAGTCCTAGCCACAGCAATCAGAGAAAAAAAAAATAAGAAGACTCCAAATTGAAAAGGAGGATGTAAACCACATAGTTCTTTCTGCGGGGCTTGTCCTGTACTTTGTAGAATGTTGAGCAGCATCCCTGGCCTTTCTATCAACTGGATGCTGGTAATACTCCCCCCCCAAAATGTCTCCAGACATTGCCAAATGTCCCCTGGAGGAGAAGAATCACCTCTAGTTGAGAAGTACTGTTCTATCTGAACTACAAGCTGAGTTATGATTCAAAGTTACCTAAGGTGGTGGTTTATTCCGTATATGAGTGTCATTTATTTTTGAAGCCTGCCATTTGAATTTGGGGTTATGGCTGAAAGAATTAATAGATAATAGTTAGACTCGATCACAGTTGGCTTGATATTAAGTTCATTCTTTGGGTTTCAACCTAAGATACTATAGCTCCTTGATTCAACAAAGAACCAAGTCAGTTTACAGCTACTCACCAGCCTGAGCTTTCTGCACAGATGTCTACAACTAGACTACATAGCTGGGTGAAGTTATTTAATGCATTCTGAAAGCATATCCTCTGCTTGTGCACATTCAGCTTTTCAGATGCCTGCAACAACAGCTGTTTAAGAATCCTAGCCTAATCCATTCTCCACACATGTTGACTCCAGAAGACTTGTGTCTGTGAGCCAAAACAGGATGCAGGAGCATCAGGGTGGCACCCAGAGGCTCTCACTGTGGAATGTGTGGGAATTGTGTGGTTATGTCCTCACCACCCCACATGTTTATAAAAATGGAAAGATGAACCAAAGACCAGGACCTCTGAGACCTCTTCCAGGACTTTCTATCCTTTCAGAAGACTTGTGCAATTTAACCTTCTTTCTCTTCATGTTCCATGTTTATTGAACATCTCTCTTAATTCCCTAGTTGGAAAACTCCACAGCAGCTGCTCACAGAGTACCTAAAGTCAAAACAATACCTGGCCATAATAGGCATCGAGTATTTGCTAAATGGAGATTATAGTTGTGTTCATATATACCACACACAGTATTCATTAGCATTAGGGTCACATCTCTGCTCTCCTTCACACTGATTAAACTCATTTCATTGTGTTTATCTCACAGTACCCTGTAAATTAGGTTATCTATTCTTATCCTCAAAATAACAAAAAAAAGTTGATTAGAAAATAATAGTAATATCAAGTTCCAATAATAATAAGGGCTACTATTATTGAGGGCTTACTGTGGGGTAGGCATACCACACTATTCTGTAAATTATTCCATTTGTCCTTAGCCAGATAGTAAATATTTAGCTTTGCATGTCATTATATGAGTTTTGTTAAATATTCTTTGTCTTCTCCTTTTTCTTCTTTACAACCTTTAAAAATGTAAAAATCATTTTTTAGGTAGCAGGCTATACAAAAGCAAAGTGTGGGCTAGAGGTTTATCTCCATCTTGCAGAGGAGATTAAAACTGTAGCATAAAAAAGAACTAACATATCCCTATTTTACGTAATTTATTGTAGACCTAGTGCAGTTGAATGTAAGCTCCATAAGGAGAGGAAATTCTGTCTTGGCTCACTGTTCTTTCTCCAGTGCCTGGAACCAGTGTGGAGTATAGCAGATGTTCAACAAACAGTTGTTTATACAGAAAGGAATAAATAAACGAACTTGGCCAAATTTATGCTAAATGACTTCACTGTTGATCGCCTCAGGAAGGTTGTGGCTGCAGACTTCTGGTAACAACGCTTTGCTGCTTCCCCTAATATTAAGCGAATGTCCCCGAGAGGCAGAACCAAATTCAAGGAGATTTGAAAGTAGGTCAGAAGATACCTGCCCTCACCCAAGATGGCGACAAGGCAGCGTGCCCTCTCGGGTCACATGACCTGCCGTCACCGAAGGGGCACCTCCCCGCGCATGCGTGCTGCGCGGCGGCTGCGAGGCGCTAGGGGGAGAGGCACCTCCGCCAGCGCCGCCGGGGGACCCGTTAGAGCGGAAG